CTCCCCAGATTAACTCATAATAATAAAAATCTAAAAGCATATGGCCTAGGCAGCACAGCTCACCGCTCCTCCTCAGGGAAATGAGAAAGACATAAAGCTCACTACTCCACTGATTAACTCATTTACATAAATCCCTCTAAGATAACTCTTGATAAGTTAGTCCGTAATCTCGAAAAACACAAAAACAAAGAAAACTTTCCTTAAAATACTCCTCCTCTTGGTTAAGGCCGGTGATGGCAGGTATGGTGATGATCCCAAACACCTAACACCTAAGGCTCAAATCAAAGAAACAAAGGTAAGTATGAACAAAGGAACAAACAGCCTCTGACTGACTGCACTCCTAATCCATCTGTCAATCTCTTGCTCCCCTCTCCCCTGGCTCGTAAACCTGAAATCCTGAGATACTTAAACGCCTCTGCTTGGTGCAGCAAATTATCCCTGACCTGGAGTGAGCACTTTACCCTTTTTTAGCTGAGGGCCATGGCCCCAGATTTATAAGTGCAAGTTCTCATTCCTGGTGCTTTACACTTAGCTGCGAACTGCTCCAGTGCGAGCTAGAGGCCACCACGTGATGAAGCCAATAGAACGACATCATCTGCAAAAAGCAGAGATGAGATTCTGAGGCCACCAAAGTAGAAGCCCTTTGCCACCTGGCTACACCTATTATGAAAGAATAGGTGACAAAGGGCATTTCTGGTGGCAACAGTTGACCAAACTCATGAGGTTGTGTCTTTAGAAAACAGCTGTCCGAATTAAACATTGGGCTTGCAGGTCAAATACAACCCTCCAGTCACATCCATTATCAGCAGTTCTCCACTACACGCCTTTGGAGTACAGGGTCGCAAGCTCGATTCCCGCCTGGCATACCGGAGTGAGAGAGTCATGCTGGCTCAGACATCGCCCTGATCAACAAGGTCCACGTCAGGTGTTGAGGAACCAGGGCACCCTGATGAGAAGTGGCCTACTGGAACAAGAAGGCATCGGTGGGCAAGAGAAGAAAATAGGGTTTTGTTGGAATGCTATTATGCAAGGAACCCTGGCGGAAGGGATTGCATGGATAGGATGAGGGATGTATGAAATCGTCGATACACAACATCATCATTGACGGCAAAACAACTAGTAGCTCAGTGTTCCAACATTCAGAAGAAGGGACTGCTCTCACAGGTAGAGATTGACGAGGTACAACACATATGCTACAGCAAGGGGGAGCCATCAGAGATTGGTTAGAGGCGCAAAACACCAGCTACTGGTAAGACTGAGCACTCAGCTGAGACTGCAAGACTAGGCTGACCAACCTGTGCACTGCCTGGACTGATTATAAGAAGGCCTATGACTCAATGCCCCACACCTGGATCCTTGAATGCCTAGACCTATACAAGATCAACAGGACCCTAAGAGCCTTCATCGGAACTCAATGGGGATGTGCTGTACAATGCTAGAGGCCAACTTCAAGCCCATAGCACAAGTCACCATCAAGTGCGGGATCTACCAAGGAGATGCTCTGTCCCCACTGCTGTTCTGCACAGGCCTGAACCCCCTCAGTGAGATCATTGACAAGACTGGCTACGGATACCAACTATGGAACGGAGCAGTTGTCAGCCACCTCCTGTAGATGCATGACGTCAGGCTGTATGCCAAGAGTGAACGAGACATTGATTTACTGATCCATGCCACCAGGATATACAGCAATGACATCGGAATGTCGTTCCAACTGGAGAAGTGTAGTCGGATGATAACGGAGAGAGGGAAGGCAGTTCATAGTGGGACACAATGGGACTCAGCTTGGCAATGTTTCTCAAATGATAAAAACAAGAGAGAACCAGAGATTTAACATGAGCATCCAAAGTCAGAGCTTTGTCAAATGTTACTCCAAGATTCCTAGTAGAGGATTTGGCGAATGTAGCAAGAGGACTTCAGTTTTCCATAACCTTTGGCACAACATTAGCCTCCCAGCCGAACCTGCTCCCCACCAGCAAGCAGGAGAGGGAATCAGCCGCAACTATCTCCGGCCGATGGACCAGCAACAGGGATGAATGGGATCTGATGGCCGGCCGCGTGGCAAGTGGCGGGGGCGCAGCAAACGTGGACAGAACCTGCAGCTCTCAAGCAGCTTGACAGGTGGGCAGTGTGCTGGACTGGATGGTGCACTGTCCTTCAGTGTGGGAATGTCACGTTCTGCCCGTGCGCCGACCTCCGGCTCCGTCAGAGCAGGTCCCTCCCGCGTGCTGACCTCCGGTTCTGGCAGTGGAGGTCGCCTCCCTCCCCCATGCAGTTTGAGGGCTGGCGGTGGTGTCAGCCAGGAACCGACCCAAGCTGCCAGACTCATTGTCAGCTGCTTCCAGGGCTCGGACCAGTCCTGCAGCTGTTCCCCCTGGCGTCAAAACACTGCCGCCTGCCCTCTCTGTGTGGCAGCAAGTTTCGGGCCAGCGCCTCCACTGGTTTGCCCGGTTGTGGTTCTGCCATGCGACCTCCTGGGTTTCAGCACAAATGTAATGGGAATGAGGGACCCAACCACATATTTCACTGGTTTACACACTTTATTTCAGTTGCTTTTGCCTTCAAACAGCCGCAGCTTTTCAGCCGCCTCCTACACACTCAGCCACACCACAAACCACGCCTGCCACAGCGTTGTTTTCAATAAATTGCGTGCTCAAAAAATGTTTTGCTTCACTCCCATTTCTGTTTGTTGCATGTTGAAACTCTACTTGGAAACTTGTTAAGATCCAATCATGCAAAATACGATTTTTTTTGCCATTTTTCAAGTGGTCTTAAACTTTTGAT